GCAATATGAACAGCCATAGCTGATAATATTTAATTATTTTATCTTGATTTTCATTAGTATCTGAATAACTACACTTACATTCTGCATTTCCTAACACAGAATCAGTAACTGTAAGACTATATAAGACTATAAGATATTGCAATAAAAATAAGCAAGATTCTTGACAAAATTATTTTCAGAAAAGAAAGGTGTTGAAGTACTAGGTGATTAAATATTCCTGAAATCACAAATAATTGCCCTCAAAGAGTGAAATTACTTGTATTCCTCTACATAACTGTCTTTTCCCTTGCTTAGATATCTGTAATGCACACTAACAAGCACTGGGTTGTACTGGGAATTTATGTCAACAATTGTAGTTTAGGGGAGGGAAAGACAAAATATTTTAAATTTAAGCCTTGTTAGGTTAAAGAAAAAGCCAGAATGTATTTTAAAGCGCATTTGTATTTCCTTTACCATATTCACACACAGAACTGAGTAACAGTAATAATGATCTTATCTTCCTATGAGCAACATACACCTAAAGCCAACTCCATCCTCTCGTTGCTGCTCCTGAAAGAAGCAAGAATAAAACAGGTGTACAGCACATCTATCATGTTAAACTCCATCCCTCCCTAAATTTACCTGTGAACTTTAGCTGAAGTAATCCTACAGCCACTACTGTAATATGAAAGAAAGGAAGAGACGGGCGTCTCACTGTAAGCAAAGGTCAGAAATTAAGATGTTATTTTATCTGTAAATCCATTATTACCATACTTATGAATATTTTCAGTGGTAGTCTTACTCCTCACTTTCCAAAGTATTTTTAAATTGACGTCTATTCTTCATCAGATAGAAATGAATTATTACTCATGCTGTCAACCCTACTGTGGCAGTTTCTACTTTAAATGTTTCAATTTGTTTTCATTAATTTTTCAACACTTCCTAAGCCAAAAAATCCTCATATAACGTAGACTGACTATTTAAAAAAAGATTTTAAAAGTGATTTTACAGTTCTGTATCATCAGACCAGACTGACAAAGTAGGTCATCATTCAATCCACAGACCAGGCCAACAGGCATGGAATAACAGGTTTGCAATTCTTATTTTAATACATTCATCTTATATAACGAGAAAGTCTTAAAAACTATAAGGATGTTTGAGTCAGGGTAACTTTTTAGGAGACAGATACTGGATTTTGTCAGTGCTTCAAAGAGAGATACATTCTTTGGGAATATAGCCCAATGCTTTTCATAAAAGTCCTGTAATTCACAGTTTATAGAGTATTTGGGGTTGAACCAACCATTCTCTCTTTGGTTTCCTGAAGGAAGTGCCTAACTTGGATCAACCCTTTCTCCAACCATGCCTGTGTGGCTAAGTACCTTGAGCAAACAGAACACACTTGTATCTTCCAGGCAGAGCTCTCCCTGCTAGGTATCTTAGCTCTAACTAGCATGCAAACTATTTCTCTAGGTTTGAAAAGCAAGCTCTAGAAGATTATGCTGCTGTACTTCAGGAGCTTGCCTTCCCTGTGCAACCTCCCAAACTTCTGTTGCCTGAGCAGTGCAGATAGCAGAGCAGACAAACGCTCCTCTCAGCCATACACCCTCTTCTAGTCTGGTGCTTAGCTTAAGGAACCAAAGCAGGAGAACAGGACAGGGGCTGCTCTAAACGACCAAGGCTTGGAACAATTAGTTTTGGCCACCCATCTCAGCAAGCTTTCCACCCAGTCTTGGTGGGATAAGCAGACTAAAGTTTAAACTATTGCCTGCTGCTGAATCAGACTGGGGTTGGTAAACAATAAAAGAGCCTATTTTTTTTTTTACCTTCCAACCTCCCATATGGGAAAATGCCCATCTGTGGTGATGAGTTTTGAAGGGTCCGCAGAATTAAGCAAAACAAGCATAAATGAAGTATTTGGGGGGGGGGGGTGTGTGTTGGGAACAGAACTAATGACCTGGCATGAGACATACACTCGTGCCTCCCTGCTCCCATTACATGATGGAAGTGTCAGTTTATCCAAAAATCTCTAGTGGTCTTAAACTATTTTCAGAAATAAAATACTTGTGACTTCTTTTACTTCTGTAAAATTTGCAGGACTGTCCTCATGTCTATTATGGTAACTGTACACAAGAAAAAATAACAACAATCAGTTCTACTGAGAAATGAGAGAGCAGTTTAAACAAGACTCTCCAAACCCACACTGAACTCAAGTTATGTATTTATATGCAGTCACTTTGGTGGCATTTGCCTTAACATACTGAATAGGATGGTCTGATTTCATGGTGCAGACAGCAGAACTCTCAGTACACTGAACACAGGTCAGCAACACATACAACATACATACTCTACAATACAGCATGCATAAAGTAATTGCTAAGTACAGTCAGCAGTTTAAGGGCAGGAGAAACTGGTATTCAGAAGCATTTCTCCTTTCAGAAGCAGTTGTTTTCCTTTCCAAATCAAGAACAGAACAAAAAAGGAAAAAACAAAGATATTGATACTAACTACAAGAGTAAAGCATTATTTTGAGTGAGTGAAATGATGACAGAGTGACAACAGAAAATCTTTCCAGCATGATGGAATGACAACACAGGTGAAAAAGTAAGAGAGAAATAACAAATGGGGCGGGGGGAAGAAAAGAAACAGTTCTAAAAACCTTGACTTATCATTTACTGAAGCCAAAAGCTGCCCACTAAATCCAACTATGACACCTGGTACAAACACTAAAATGCCTGAAAATAAGCCACAAACAGGTTATCACAAACATTTTAAGTGAGCTTTCTTAGGCTCTGTGATAAAGCTGCTGTTCTCTGACAAACCTGAGTAAACTAAAAAAGAAAAAAGTCAGCAGACCTTGCTGCCTGTCACAAAGGCAACAGTAATGTACAATCTGTAGCACAAACATAACATACTTGCATTAAAAATACTGATTATTTTTAGAGTTATATTAGAATTTGCTAAGTCAAATCAACTATGGCCAAGAAGGATTTGTAAATACATTCAGTTGTTCAGACTTAAAACAGAAAAACGCCATACATAAATGAAGACTGAAAGATAAGCAGAGACAATTCAATTAAATTATGTTAAGGCACAATCTGCGTTCAGAATGGAGCCATACTTTGCAGCAAAACAGTTAACATTTTGTTAAATTATGCTGCATTAGACCTCAAAGATAAATGCTGTGAAAGAAGTGATGGTGAGCAGCAATTACGCTTTCCTTTGAAAATAATTAACCTCAAGAATTATCTCTCAGCCAATTGCTAATGGACTACAGTCAACTCCATGAGAAAATTAAGAAAGTTAAGAACCAGAACAGCCAAAGAAAATTTAAATGGAAGACAACCGGTTTTCAAACTCTGCATGGCAGATCACTACCTCTGTAGCTGTCAAAGCAGAAATAATAGTAAATACTACAAGAACAAGCAAAATCTACTAAGAATTGCAAACTACTCTATGCTTCAGGTTTTGACATTTTGGAAACTGAGACAATGCACAAAAAGAAGTTTAAACAAGCTCCAAATCTCCTTACTGCATTTAACTCATTATATTACTCATAAGGCAGAACATGACTATGAAAATAAAGACAGTTTTAACATGAAAAGCATATGCTCAAATATACTGACGCAGCATAATGAGTGGGTGTGTGTAGCTGGTGCTGAACAGTATTAATTATCACTCTTTTAATATTTTCTTCTAACATCAAGTGAAATGCTTGAGAATAAACCCATAAATTAGCAATCTACCACATGAAAATTACACAAGTACTTCATGACCACCTGTTTAGGAAACCATAGCAGAGAACTTTAAATTAGATCTGCCACACAAACTTGCAGGTGAAATAACTCAGTGCATTCCTGAGACGAAACACTGCGATGGTCCTAGAGAAAAGCCCTACCAAGATCTTTATTTTGCTTCTTTCACGTATCTTGTAAAAAACAGTCTTTCCCTGTCACCTTACTAAACATGCAAGAAGTCTTTTACCTCCTCACCACGCAAGCACACACGTGGATATCAACTTTCCCCCAAATAAGGCAAACCATAGCATTTTTATCTCCAGACGAGGAAGCCCCTGCTTTCGCCGGAGAAAACCTGCGGCTTGCCCTTCCCCGGAGCCCGGCCACCACAACGCGAGGAACCCCCGCCGGGTCTCCACAAGAAAGCGATGCCGGTGGCTGAACCCAGCTGCAGAAAGAAACGTTTTCTCTGACTTCCACCGCTGCTGCGGCATGGGGCGGGGGACGTGCGTGTGACAAAAAAGCAGTGCCAGAAGACGACATACAGCTAGCCTCAGAGACGACGGACTGCATGTGCGGGCCGTGTCAACTAGCGAAGGGGCGGCCTCCTGCCACACATGGCTCCATCTTCTGTGCGGGCCGTATCCTGAACCAATGGAGCATGCGGGCCAGCTCCCTTAGGGCTGCGGGACAAGGACTTCGGGGCAGCTCGTCGCACCGCGGAGCGATGGCCCACCTTGCCGGGCCCCGCCAGAGCTGCCAGCCCTGAGGCCCAGGTGAGGAACGGTGGGCCGGCCCCACTCCCGTGATGGGTGGGGGCAAGCCACGGGCCCCAGCCCCCCATGCCACAGCCCATCAGAAGCCGCTTACCGGGAGTTGGGTTGAAGGAGACACCTCGCAACCGGCGAGGCCGGGCCGCAGCAGGGAGGAACCGCTGCCCGCTGTCCCGTCCCGCGGGCCGGCAAGCAACGTGCTCCGCTGCCGCCACCCGGCCAAGATGGCCGCCGCCCCCGCAGGGAGGGGCCTGGGCGCGCACCATAGAGACGAAGGGAAAGAAGGGACGCAGGAAAAGAAGCTCACCATAGAGAAACCGCTCAGAGAGAGAGAGCGACACCTCCCGCCACAGGGCGGGGCGCGGGAGGTGTCAGTCGGCTCGCTTCTGCCGCGACGGTCGGTGACGCCATCTTCGGGCGACGCCGCTTTACACAAGAGGTGTGCGGCTGTCTGGTTCCCCACCCTCTCTCTGGGGCACGCAGTGTGAGGTCACCGGGCCGTTACGACCCACACCGGCCGGGCTCTGAGGGGAGCGCTCCGGAGCGGAAAGCCTCTAGCTCCGCCTCTCCCCGCCGGGTGCACGCGGGCACCGGTGGGCTGGCCCCGCCCCTTTTCTCTCTCACAGCCCGCCCCAGTCCGCGCCGTTCTCTTTCGAACCGGGCTCGCGTGGTGGCGCGCGAGGCTTTGCGCGTGCGCGGCGGCACATCGGCTCCGTTGGCGGGCGCGGGGTGTCAGGCCTGGAGACGGCGGCAGAGGTGGTGGACCCCACTGAAGGGATACGCGTGGCGGCGGCGGACCCGCTGGCCCCTCGCCGCCTCTTCGCCCGCTACAGCGGCTGAGAGGATCAGGTGGGCATGCTACTCCATACCGACACGGGGGGGCTGAGGGGGTGGTTTGTCCCGTGTCTCGCCCCCGGATGTCACGCCAGCCGTAGGAGCTGTGCCTGGGCAGAAGGCTGTTGCGGTGCTTTCGCCCAGGCTCTGGAACGCCTTCCGACCCCGGCATGGGGCTGGGGCTGCTTAACCGGTGCCGCCGCCGGGTTCCTCCCTCAGCGAATGGTTGTGCGTTTGAGGTGAGTCCCCAGCTGGGAGGGGGAGCGTGATCTGGTGACTGAGCACAGCCGATGTGTTTCGTGAGTAGGGTTACTCGGTTATTTCCGATATTGAAGTGTTCTGTAGGGTCATAATACAGTGTTGTAAAAGTAACTATGCCTAAAATCGGAATTCAGAGTCCTGCGAAGAAGTCGTGAGTGGAGGGCTGAGTGAAAGCAGCTTGAATTGTCAAACGGGCTTCGTCCTCCGTTCGCTGTCTAGTTTTAAAAACTTGATATAGGCACTTGCAAAGAAGTGCTTGTATCCTTCACGGAGCAACTGGATACCTTTGGAAGTCTAAGCTTGTGCAAAGCCACATTTTTAATTTCAATTGATTAGGAATATAGGTATAAAAGTTGCTAATGTAATTGCCTTGTGCAGTTTAATAACCTTATTTTTTAAATATATTTGTTTTGTGATGATGGAAGACAAGTATTTTTTATTAATAGGCTTAAAGCAGTATGCTGAAGGCAGAGCAGAGTAAAAGTAATAGGTGTTTGGAACTGTACTGAGAATTATCTGGGAGCTCAAATGTACAGGTGAGGTAGTTATTGAAATACATTGTTGCTGAATGCTTGCAGCCATTATTAAATATTAATGGTAGTAATTTGCATGTTCAGTGTTATTGTTTAATCTTCAATCTGAATGTAAAAATAGGAAGCATAGTAAGATAGTAGTTTCTGTATTTATCTTGAGATCTTTAAAGGTCTTACACCAACAAAGGTGCATTCAAAGGAAATGAGAGCAGGCGAAAGAGCTTGTGAGGTAAAATGAGTAGCGCAAGTATGAAAATCGTAGGGAAATCTAAGGTATGAAATCCTCTTCCATTCAAAAGAAGAACAAGAAAAACAGTCTTATAAATCATGGATGTTGCAAAAGCGCTGGAGTAGTCAGTGTAGCCTTTGTTTGGGTTTGATGGAGAAGTTGTAGACAGATACTTGCTAAAACTGAATGAAATTATCATGATGGGAATGCAATCGGAATAATAAGTTCAGAAAAAAAAAAGGGGCAAAGCTTACCAAGCTTTGATCCCCTCAAAGATTCTGTGCAGGTGGTTTAGGGGAGAACTTGTCAGTAAGTAGAAAACAATTAAAGTTCATGTGCAAACAGAAAATGGGCTAGTTTGATTTGTTAAGAGTGCTCTGGATCAATCTATTTTTTTCCAGTAGCCAATGCAGTTAATGAGGAAGGAATACAAGGGGTTTGTCTTGACTTTTGCAGGGTTTCTGCCATTGTCTGGGCTTATGTTAAAAACAGACTACTAAAATGGGATCTAAAACAATTTTTGTGAGATTTTGTACAGCTGGTTGAAAAATTGCTTTCTGAAGCTGACTTGTAAATAATTCACTTTAAACAAGGATGCCAGGAAGTGTCCTCCTGTCGAGTTCTGTTATGGATGTGCATTCATTTTTTTTTCTGTAATGGTTAGCATGGAAGAGATACGCTGGGTAGTTGGAAGGATTGAGAGCACTGTACAGCTCAGGGTCAGAATTCAAAATGATTGTGAAGATTGACAGCAGATTTGAAATCAATGTAATTAAACTCAGTTAACAAGAACTGTGGGAGGAAGAGAACACAGGAGAAATAAAAGACATAATTAGTGGAAAGGGTAGTACTGAACAGCAAGTAGTATCCCAAAAAAGCATTTTAGCACTGTAATGTATGGTAAATGAAATATTAAACAATATGATGTCCTTGCAATCAGACATATGTTATTTTGGCATGTTAGCAGATGAGATTAAATATGAAGAGAAAAGAAAGTGATTACTCTGTCCTGCTGAGCCTTAGTATGGCTAATTTTTGTTAACCATAGTATGTAGATCTCTAGACTGCACAGGAGTTAACAACACTTGGTTTGTGAGGGAGACTTGAGGCATAGGCACACTAGAAAAGAAGCTAGGAGCAAATTTGATGAAGGCCCTCACATCTACAAAAGGGTTACTGTGTAAAAGCTAGTGATTATGTAGCCTTAAGGCTCAATGTAGAGCAGCAGAAGAAATCGTGCTTGGTTTTTAGAAGGTATTACTTGGGTTGGATGGTAAAGAAAAACATTTGGCATTTAGATTGAGGAAGCACTGAAGCTGTCTGTCTGCAAAGATTGTGCAGTTTCTTTTGTTGAAGTAAAATGGTTGGACAGGTGTCTGTTGAAGACAATCTCAAAGGTCCTTGCAGATGTGCATTTAAAAGTTCTGCGTGTGCTAACATGGTGGAATTAGAAATTTTAATTGGAGAAAGCTGCTTTGGAATCTGCAGCAGTTCCCTTGAACTGGTATTTTTATGGAGCTTTAGTAGGAAAGAATCATGATGTATCCTTCTTCTTTGCAATATGTTGTGGAGGAGCACGTGTGTGTTTAGTGAAGGATTTGATTTCAGGTATGCGTCTCGAGTGTCTTCTACTGGTATACTGAGAATAACCTGTTTTTATTGTGAAAGTAGATTATTGAACCGTTTAAATCCAGTTCGCTCTGTTTATAAACTGTATGTTTGCTAAAACATCTAATGGCTGCTACTTCACGGGGATGTTCTCAGGAAAGGAGCAAACTTCTCTAGGAAGATGCTGAGGAATGAAGAGTTCAAGGTGGGGGAAAAGCTTAGCTGCTGCCTTGTCTTGACCAGAGGATGTACATGCCCTATAGTGGAAAGTGGCAAAAGTGTGACATCAGTCATGTCATTAAGACATCAATATACTAAATGTTGTTAATAAGGAAACAGTAGCCTATTAATGATCTTTTGGAATAATTGAATTGGGAATTTGGAGGTGTTTCCAGCCAATGATTCTGTAGATGCAGTGTGTTATTCCATTTTTCAGCACATGTAAAGGAGAAGGCTTCTAGACAGATTACTTGTTTTTGTGCATCTTGAAAATAAAATAAAATAAAAAAAACTCATTCTTTTATCATCTTGGGCTGAGAAAATGTTTTGGTTTGTGGTTTTATTTTATTTGGTGACTTAAATTATTTTTGATGTTATGTATTTGTCTTGTCCAAAATGAAGTACTTGTACTTCTGCTAGTAAAATGCTCAGAAGTGTTATTTGAATGAGCTGGTCTCTTGTAGTATTTTTCCTTAGTAATTCTACCTGCTTTCTGTTTCTTAGAGTTTTAGGAAGCTTCAGAAAACTATCCAGAATGTATTATGGTTAAACAGAAGTTCTGTTGTGAAAAATGGACTTCATAGAATAGTTAGGATTAAAATGGACCTTAAGATCATCTAGTTCCATCCCCCCTGCCATGGGCAGGGACACCTTGCACTAAACCATGTCACCCAAGACTTGATTACTTCAACTCATTAGTTAAAACTAAATTTGAGATTTTCAGTCTACCACATCACTGACACACACTTTGTGGCTGACTTATTTGCGAGTGGTGGTTTGGAGTTGAAATTTGGATCTTGAGTAGCTTTGCCTGCTAGATTGAAGGAAACAAGCTCAGTTTAAGACAGTAAGAAACTTGGTTGGCATTACCCCTTTTTTTTTTTTTAATTGGAGGGCATTAGGATTAGTATATATGTGAATTATATGAATATATATGTGATATCTGTAGGATTAGCTGTGTAGTGGTAACCCACTCTTCTGGGAGGATGGTGAGCCAATAGAAAGTGTTTGGTATGGACAGTGATATACGCTACAGAATTTGGATTTCCTGCATACAACAAAAAGGTTTTAGCTGCAGAGTTATTCTTGCATCCAAAACTTTGTCTCTGCCTTGTATCACTTTTGTTGTGGATGAGGTCTGGGCCCTGTGAATTCCTGCCCCTCATTTGCTATCTAGGCGAGGCACTGGAGACTTCTGATGAGGTTAGCAGGGCATAGTATGATGTCATGCATGTAAACAAAGGATTAAAATAATATCCAATTCCCTGACTCTTGAGCACTTTATGTTTAATTTTAAGCTTTAATGTGAACTTTTTTTCTTGAAAACAGTTTTTAAGCTACTTTCTAGGAAGTAATAAGGTGTTCTGTACTATATAAAACCCAACATGATTATGTTGTTGTATAGCAGTACTGTATGGCAGTAGTCTAGGTGTTGAGACTGAATGTGATTACTTGAGCAGTGCAAGTCTCAGGTTAATGATTCCAGCTGAAGTTGTGAGGTTAAGGAAATGCACCATGGATAAATATGGCAATAATAAATCCCTACAGAATTTGAACCCATGAGATAAGTTTAAGCTCTCATTTCCTATTTTTTAAGGAGATTTCCAGGAGGGCAAGCTTGCTCTAGCTTCTGAATAGGCTTCTGAACTTGCAGATTAAGAAAACTCTTACTTGTATGTGGAGGGAAAATGAAGCTGTATTGCCAGCCTTGAAATCATAAGGGTCGTTTTTAATTTCTTAAAACCAAATCCTGAAACTCTGACTAACTCTGTATGTGTGAATTAGAGTGAAACAAGTAGTATATGTTCTATGAGTTTTCAGTTATGTATTGAATTTTGAAGGACACAATTTACATATATGTGGAACCTGTTACTAAAGATTATATTTATAAAAATAATATATTTTATATATATAAATAAAAGGTTTTACAGACATCCAAAAATGTTTCCATGTATGTGTATAAACTACATATTCCATAGACTATTATATAAGTGCAAGGCTAAAGAGTTAAAGTGTCTATGTAAACAAACAACTGTATAATTTTCCTGGCAAGCTAAAAATGTATCAACTTTTTTTTCTCTCCCCACTAGAAATGACTACCCCAAACAAGACGCCACCTGGTGCTGATCCAAAGCAGTTAGAGAGGACTGGTACTGTTAGAGAAATAGGCTCACAAGCAGTTTGGTCTCTCTCATCCTGTAAGCCAGGTAAAACCACAACAAATGGCGTAAAAAGCTGAATGTACATTTTTCTTAGAATACATAGAGGTTTATGTTTTGATAAGACATGTATAGGCAGTGTAGCAGTAAAACTGCTGTTGTATAAGCTGTATGGGTAGTCACTACAAATAATTTTGACCTAGTCTATGTTTGATGCAATATGAAAGTTTAAACTCTCTCTCAGAAATCTTATGATGAAGAAATCTCATATTAACAAAAGATCTTTAACCAGCATTATACTAAATTGTTTTGTGGGTTTTTTTTTTTCTTTTTACTCACATAAGTGAACAAACTAAACCATGTGAGCAGAAAATCAGCAGCATGTAATTGTTCCTGTGTGTTGACATTTTGCCTGGGTATCTTGTATTTTTAACTTAGAAAAACCATGCAGCTGGGGAACCTAAATGTTCTGTCCAGACTTTGTGTTGACTTGGCCATTATAGTGTAGCTCCCTAAAATCCTTCAACTGAAATCAAACTATTGCAAATTTTCCTGAGGTACAGTTAGTGAGAGTTTATACCTGCTCAAAATATCTGAAAGTCTGTATTGTTTTGATTTGAGATAGTTGAGTTGCTGTTTTAGAAGTATCTGCTGGGAATTTATCTGGTATCTTTCTGCAGCCTGGAGTCAGTGGTGGCCTTTATGTCACAATGTTGTGCTCAGGCTGAATGTCTAGTCTGATATGCTGGTATCTTACTTAGAGAAAAACATCATATGGTTTAGCCACTACAGAGTGAAAATATTTTTTTTTTATTGCAGATTAAACTTCCAACTGCTGAATTAAAACTGCAGCAAGTGTGGGCAATCAATAAAAGGATGTGATTAGTAAAAGGGCAGATAATGAGGGAATGGAAGAATACGGATTTGGAGTAGCTCATTTAAATGTGATGGCATTAACTTTCAGAAATACTGTGTTTGGCATCTATTGTTTGTTCTAGCTGCTAACTTGAAAAGTCAAAATATTTCAGGAGGCTACTTGAAAAGAAAATGTTATATTTGGCCAAAATTTTGTAATAGATAGATGGTCTCTGCTATGAGTTTCCTTTAGTTCAGGAGTTAGATTATAGAATAGGTGGAAAAGCCTAACTATTAAATGTTGTTCTTCCAATTAGTATGAATTAACACTTAACCATTTGAAATTCCAGGGTGTGCTGAATAGTTTCAAACCCCGCAGACTTCAATAGGAGATAAAAATGTAAAGACCCTCAAGGACTGAGCTTTGATTGACAGGTTCCCCTGTTTTCTGTCACAAATTATAGGCACAACTTTCATGTCTAGAGATAGTTCCTTATACATTACAACTTGGAATACATACTTTAGTTTGTAACAGGTGAATAAAAATTATGTCTGTGATGTCTGCATCGTGGAAATGGGATATTGGAGACTATTAAATTTTCTTTTTCTTAGGATTTGGAGTGGATCAGTTACGAGATGATAATCTAGAAACTTACTGGCAATCAGATGGATCACAGCCTCATTTGGTGAACATCCAATTTAGGTATTGAAAATTACTCTATATGGGTTTGGGTGTATAATTCTGTATTGCTTACTGTTCACCGAGACAGTAATTCTGGACGTGCAAGGACTCCTAAGTTAAACCTGTTTCCCAACTGCTAAAGAAACCAGATGGATAGCATTTATAAAAATTAGATTGTCAAACATAATGGTTACTAAATGCCTAAATAAGCAACAAATAGGGATGTATAATAGTGTGTCATTTGTAATGGTTTCGCTTTTACGTATCTAAGGTGACACTTTTGTCCCGGCTTTGAGTGTAGTTTCAAGGGTAGATTACTGAGTTTAAATAGTCTAATATTACTTAAGAATTTACTGTTTTCCCGTCCTTTTCTTTGTAAGATAATTTCAGTCTTTCTTTAACCAAACTCTGAAGATGATGTTAGATATTTGTCACCTTTTTATTTGCTTTCTGGAGAACTCTTTAATATAGTAATAGAGTCCATATTTGATAAGCTAAACTTATGCATTGTTGCATACAAGTGCTTATTTGGCATCTTGGTCTGTTGTATTTCTTGGTATACCGACACTTCTGAAGGCAGACAAAGGAGAATAGTGAGAATCCAGTCTGTGCATAACAATGTAGGTAAACACCTAGTTGCTTTAACAGCGGAGTTCTTATAAATCAGTAGACACACTTGTTTTAGAAGTCCTTAGTTACTACAAACTAGCAACAAACTCATCTTGAATATTTTTTGTAATGATGCTTACATAGCTTCTATTGCTTCCTGCAGAAGAAAAACAACAGTGAAGACTTTATGTATTTATGCAGACTACAAATCTGATGAAAGTTACACTCCAAGCAAAATCTCTGTCAGAGTAGGAAATAATTTTCATAATCTCCAGGAAATCCGGGTAGGTCAATGATGCTTTGCTTTCTGTCTTAAAATAAGCCTCATATTAGGATATCTGCTGTAGTAAACTTGGTTTTGGAGGTAAAATACAACATTGTGCTTGGAGGGTGAAAATGACTGGGTTTATTTCGATGTTTGCTTTTAGTTTTTTTTTTTAATAAGGGGCTTTTTACCTTGTAAATTTACTGGACTAGTTTCTGTTTTCTATCAGACTCCATTACCAGCATGGTTATAACAGGCTTGATATATAGATCCTGTAATGAAGAGTGTGATTTTCCAGAACAGGGATGTTTAGAATTGGTTAAACTTTGATCTCAATTTAAGTATCTGCAAACCCTATACATTGCGTACATCAAAAGGGAGGCTTAGTTTTAAATACTTGCCTTTTTAGAATTAAAAAAGGCATGAATCAAAGTTATGAATGGGTTGTTCAGCTATTGAGTCTCACTAGGAATCAGAATTTAAACCTACAGGCTTTAGTTATGGATGTGTATGGTACATTTGTATTGTAAATGGTGTATCTTTGTCGTCTGGATTTAAGTTTTTGGAGGCTGCATGTACTCGTATTAGCAAGTAGCATCTGATTCAAAGCTCACTTTTGAGACCCAGGCAAAAAGAAGCTGGGATACAAGGCCTTAACCATCAATTACATGACTGTTTCTTTGTATTCTGGTGGTTAGAGAATCTTCATGTGAGAATCTGTTACATGTTTGCTAATAGCTGACTCTAGCCACTACTGATGGTGAGAACTAGTAGAACTGCCACGCTAACTTTCCATAATTGTATACGAAGCAAGTAAGATACCAATTTAAAGGCTAATGAAATCTGCAATCAGATATGTTCATAAATGCTGTTTTACTTTCGAGTATAGTTTCAAATCTTTTTGTAATGCCTTTTTTTTTTATACTGAAGACATAGAAATTTTGGAAAGAAATGCAGTATTTTTGTTTTTAACAATACAGTGTAATTTCCATTTATGTAGATAAGACATTTGATACAGATAACTTTGAATGGGACATAGATTTGTAGTGTTTTATTAACCTATTTATAAAAGTGTAATAGGCAGATCTAGCATTTTTTTTTCATGGTGACACTTCTAGTCAGAAAAAGTTTCTTTGATGGAGCAATTGAGATGAGATTAGACTTTAACTGCTTAGTTTTGCTAGCCTTTTGCTAAATAGTAAAAACAGATTTCAAATAATCCATGGTCTTTGTAGAAGTCTACCTTGTAAACTTATCGGGTTACCCATGAGGATGCCCAGGTATCTTTGCTTATTTTGGTTACAGTAGCCTCATATTTCAGATTTCTCTTCTCTGGAGTGAAGCAGGTACTGGCTGATATATTGGGAAAGTTTAATTTGCTTCTCTTATATGGAAGGCATTATTGTAATGGGAGGATAAGTTGATGAAATATAACAAGGGAAAGTGTAGAGTCCTGCATCTGGGCAGGAACAACCCCAGGTTCCAGTATAGGTTGGGAAACGACCTGTTAGAGAGCAGTGTAGGGGAGAGGGACCTGGGGGTCCTAGTGGACGACAGGATGACCATGAGCCAACACTGTGCCCTTGTGGCTAAGAAGGCCAATGGCATCCTGGGGTGTATTAGAAGGGCGGTGGTTAGTAGGTCGAGAGAGGTCCTCCTTCCTCTCTACTCTGCCCTGGTGAGACCGCATCTGGAATACTGTGTCCAGTTCTGGGCCCCTCAGTTCAAGAAGGACAGGGAGCTGCTGGAGAGAGTCCAGCGCAGGGCAACAAAGATGATTAAGGGAGTGGAGCATCTCCCTTATGAGGAAAGACTGAGGGAGCTGGGTCTCTATAGTTTGGAGAAGAGGAGACTGAGGGGTGACCTTATAAGTGTCTATAAATATATAAAGGGGGAGTGTCACGAGGATGGAGCCAGGCTCTACTCAGTGGCAAACAATGACAGGACAAGGGGTAATGGGTACAAACTGGAACCCAAGAGGTTCCACTTAAACTTGAGAAGAAACTTCTTCTCAGTGAGGGTGACGGAACACTGGAACAGGCTGCCCAGGGAGGTTGTGGAGTCTCCTTCCCTGGAGACATTCAAAAGCCGCCTGGACACATTCCTGTGTAACGTTATTTAGGTGTTCCTGCTCCGGCAGGGGGATTGGACTAGATGATCTTTCGAGGTCCCTTCCAATCTCTAGCATACTGTGATACTGTGATTGGAATGACAAGGGAAGTGCTAAATGGTGGTTTGAGTTTTTACTCTTGGGATTTGTATTTTCACTTTGGTTTTCAGTGTTTGAAGTCCTAACAGGAACAACTTATAAGCACAAGGTTGTAAATGCAGTGGGAATAAATAGGAAGTGTAGCAAGCATTTATATGTCTCTTATGTTGGGACTGTGTATCTGTATCCATTCAATGATTTCTGATGTTCTCTATAGTTTTGACCTATGCTTTTATCCTAAATCTTGAAGGGTCTTTCTTTTTTTTTTCCTTTACACTTAAATATGCTCTTGAAAGCAATGAATAATCACATTACTTTGACTTTCATCAGCTGCAAATTCTGGAGGTTTTTGTTTGTCACCTTAATTGTATTGTAGCAATCTGGGAGTTGCAGCAGCTGGATCCTTTCCTTGTGCTGGGTTACGGGTCTGTTTTCCGAGTGTCCACTAGATGTCATTGTTGTCCTTAATGATCATTTTTTGTGCTTGTACCCTACTCTTCCAGCAGTCTTCCAGATTATCCTTTTATAATTAGTGCATGTAATGTTTAGTATGTATAACTACTGCAACCAGTTAAGCTTCTTATACAGTGGTAAACTTCCACTTTTCAGAGTATATGCGTTATTAAAGATCATAGAAACAGTAAAATGTATAATAAGCATATTGGTCTTCTGTGGTTTTGCAGGCAATATTCAGCTTTTTTTTTCTTGAAAAACAGGTTTCTATGCATAATGTATTTAGTTAAAAAAGGCACTTCTAAATGAAGAAGTTACTACTATCGTTTATAGTATATAAATAATATGTTGCATGAGAGCAGTAATGCTTAGGCATACCACATTCTCATATGCTGTCTTCAAAGCTGAGATGAAAATATGGTCAAGCTGCTTACTAATGACTTATAATACTTTGAAGTGGTAAAGATAAATACTAGTGACTTTATTGTCACTGTGATGTTAAATTTTGCTATCAATTTTCACATTTCCTAAACTATTTGATACTCAGAATATGTTTCTACAATTTTTCTTAAGTTCTGAAACTTTCTCTTCAGCTTTTTTGACACATAGGCAGGTTATGAAAGCAGTGTAAACAGTTACGAGCTCTTTAAAGAAATCTGCTCAATTATACAATGATTCCATTGGCTTCAGGACTGATTAACTGACTGGAAAATCCAGCTGAATCATTTTATATTTTTCCACGGATGTTTGCCCAGTTCATAGTTTCTGATGAAAGCCCTGTGATGCTTCCATATGTGTTCTTCCTGATGGTCTAATTATCAAAACAATGCAATGTGCTGTTAGGTCAGGTTTCATCGCTAATATAAGATTAGCTTTAGTTTGTGAACTAGTGTGTAGGCATGTCTTTTTTGGAACCTAAGATGGAATTACTTTCTAAATAAAAATTTTAGTCCCCTTTGAGAAACAAGTCATTTGTACCCCATTGTATAGATGAGAACAGCCATAATAATCTGGTAGTATTATTCCCTTGCTCAGCTGGAAGAACTAGGGCTAAAATGCATGCAGTAAGCCTTCTCCTTTGACTTAGTGTGTTTTTATCACAGCTGTCAAGCTTGGAGAGCAAATGTTTTCTCATTTCCAGTCTGAGTTCTCTCACATAATGGTGTAAACAGCCTGCGTGGACAAGATAGTCTACAGAGGCATTTTTGGAACAGTATTCAGACACCATCCAGATTTAATAACTTAAAGCCAGTATGTGATTTAAGTTATTGCACTTCACTTTCTCTTGATATGAAAATAATCCTCTGCAAAGGATGTGAATGAAGTGTTGGCTGCAAAATATCTCTGATCTCTTCAAATAATGGTCACCTGCTTGTTGCCTTTCTACCTCTCCAAGACATTTAGGTCATCAGCAGTTAACCTTTGCATAAAAGGATTGTATTGTGACATAAAAAGACTGTGATGCTAAGTGCAGGTAGGATTTCAAGTAATATTTACCTAGTAGTTACAATGGCTTCTGCTGTCAGCTTGTAATGTAGGGACTTTACACAGAAAAGGAAGACACCAGTAAAGTCTTGCATTAGCCAGTTCTATGTCTTTGGGTATAAAAGACACTTTGGGAAGGTATGGGTCAGACTTCCTGAATATTGTTACTCGCTTTTCAGATGAGTTCAAATATGAGAAGCCACTGGTGTTTAATCACAAAATTAAAGTTGCTTTTACAGGCAGAACCTCTAAAAGACATGAAGTCTTCTACTCTGCTGTGCTTGTAGAGCACTCAGCAACAGAATGTGGTGTACATGTCTTGGCTGTAACTAGATGAGATGCAACTAGACAGATGTAATTTCCTTCCAGTAGGCATTAGTTCTTCCATCACAGTTTGGACTTTCCTGTGATTTTTTTGAGTAGCACATGTGTTTAATTTAGTTGCTTGTGTAGTTCAGAGAAACTGGCAAGCTTTGTGATAGTTCCAAAATCATTCCTAGTGTGTGGCATTACTATGTGTAATTGCTTTTCAGATTGTATAAGGGTAGTAATAATTCACATGGCAGATAAGATGTATTACTGTGCAGGCCTAAAAGGAAATTATCAGAATTGCCCCATTGAAGAGGGGACAGGAAGCCTCTGGCTTGTGAATGTGCTTTCTGTATGCAATAGGGCAAATATGCAAACAGATGGCATCCTGGCTTTGCGTAACCTAGGTAAGCAAGGTGTTTGCTTCTTTTGGAAGCCTTTCAGTCTGAAGCAGGGCTCCTAGAACAGAGTAACTCCCCTGGCTACAACCTTTACATGTATGCAATGCACCACCACTGGGCAGCATTGCATACATGTGCAATGCTGCCTGGTGTAGCACTGCG